GGCACACTCTACATCATTGATCACTTTCCTCTTTGGCCCCATAATCTCCTTGATCAGAAAATTTGGGACACAACTGAGTTACATGATGTTACAGTACAGGTTCTTATATATCCTGAGTCTTAATTGACATTGGAAGGCTAGGGCCAAAATGTTGGCTTTCCTTGTGGCCCTCCTTTTTCTCTAATTTTTAATCTGCAAACAATGAGAACTATTAATGGGCTTAATATTATGGATGGCTCCATAAGTGTATGATCATCCTCAAACTCATCAAGTTGTACACATTAAATATGTACATAGTGTTATATGTCAAGCATCTCTCAGTAAAGCAGTTCTTTAAAAGAATTTATGGTCTGAGGTGACAAAGAGTGAAAATGAAGATAAAACTCAAGAAAAGAGACAGTATAGAGTGACTGAAAATAAAGAGACATGGTCATCTTGAGCATGAAAGGGGATAAACAATGACATTTCAAATATTCAGTTTAGTGGAATTTAAAGGAAAGTGAATGGATCAGTGTTAACAGAGTTGTTGGTTTCAAAATGAGCAGTTCAGGTGCAGGAGCCAGGCTGGGAAAGGTTCTGTCGCACCAGACATCACATTCCATTTTCTTTCCCAGTCATTAAGCACACAGGGAAGGTGTACTGGTTTACTTCAAAACTGGTCAAAAAATGGACTGGATTTCAGGTCTGTTGTTCTGACTATGAATGAAGACCAGAATTTCTCTAAGAAAATCAGAGGTGCTTAAAGGTCAGATGCATCAGGCCATAAATGAAAAATCAAGGAAGACCAAGTAAGAACGCTAATACTGTGGTACTTGGAGGCAAGAACAGAAATCAAGGCCAAGAGCAGTGAGCCACAAACCCAGAGTAAGCAAAACCAAGTCAGGCTGGGGTGGGGAGTGCTTACCCAGAGTGCCTGCTGGCGTGGGAAGCTCCCTCATGGCTCGGCGGTGACAGAGACCGGAATGAGCAAGTTGACCCTGGATTTCACCAGTGGTGTGAGCAGCCAAGTGTCACAGGCCATTGCTTAGCTCAGACAAAAGTACAGCTGATGATGTCCACCAGAGGCAACAAATACTGATGAAGTGATGGTGTCAGTGGCTGGCTACCAAAGCCACGCTGTGGTCATGCTAAGCCTTGTCTGGGGAAGAGAGTGGTCAGGGGCACCCTGGAAGATGGCCTCTGTGATGGCCATCTGAAGTCTTTCTTCTTACCTGTGTATGTGTAACTGAGGAAAACAGTAATCATCACTATTAGTGAATAAGTTGAATCAGAAATGAAACTAGATTCTGCTAGAGTAGGAAGCTAGAACACAAATATAACGCAATGCAATAGGGTTACAGTGTAGTACCAATGCCATTACTGAGGCGTGGAGGCAAGAATAAGCTTTGTGTGTGTGTGTGTGTGTGTGTGTGTGTGTATTTAATTTTATTTCATGTTGAAAAGTAAAAACAAAAACAAGAACAAATAGCCAAAACAAAGACAGAATCAGAGCAGCATACAACAATACACATGTTACAGATTTTCAAATCAAGAACAACAAATGAACAATGGATGCTATATTACATATTTTTATTATCAAATCTGTTGCTCAGATTAACAGATATAGATAAGTAAAATTGGACAAAAAGTCAAAGATTAATGCTTGCTTTTAATAAACATTCATTTTTCAAAAAAAATGAGAATAAGCTTTATGATGCCCATGGATTTAACTAGAATCATTTCCAAAAACATCAGGCACCCATGGCTCAGGGAGTGAGGTTTTTATGGAGTTGCAGAAGTGGAGGTATAGAAGCAGAGTGGCTCATCATTTGGGGCTTGCATTTTACAGTATTTCTCACAAGTTCAACCTTTTATGAGAAACAGAAAAGCTTAACTAAATAAACAGAAACTGAAGTAAACTGGTGGAAACATCTTTACCATCTTACCTCTCTGTGGGACCGATTTTCTATTACACCAGAACATTATGAGAACCTCTTTCACTAGCTAAGAGGAGCTGGAGTGAGATATCTGATAAAAAAAAAAAAGACAAAGTTCAGGGCTTCTAAAAATAAGTCACCACAATTAAAGATTAGTCCATCCATCACAATAGAATTTGAAAACTAGTCTTTGTGGGGAAAGTGAACAATAGCTCAAGCATCCACCATGCTGATCCATAGCTCAAGGAAAAATATGAATATCCTAGGATGAGAATAGCTATGTGTCAATAGTAAAACAGATCTGCTACCAGAAGTACAAATAGCTTTGCTTGGAATCCTGCTTCCAAAAAAAAAAAAAAAAAATTGGAGAAACAGACCTTGCCCTGCCAAATGAAGAGGTTGGGCATTAAAGGTTCTATAACATGCAAGATGTCATGAGCAGTATCAAAAGCTAGAAGTAAGTCAACCCTACCAATGGGGTAGAGCAAGAGGAGAGTTGGAGATGTCGGTTTAGTGGCATATGGAGCTAGGCAAAGAATCTAGAAGCAAAAGGCAACCACAAGAATCTAGAAACACCAAAGATGATAGCAGTGACAGTGGATGGAAGGTGCTGTACAGGCAGGGAAAAGTCAAGGGCTGGCTGGAGAGGGGTATTAGGACAGCAAGAGCTCAGGGGTTCCAAGTAGGCCAGTGAGCAAAGCAAACCCTATCTAATGAGATAGAGAAATGAGTCTTGGACAGGCAAAGCTGAAGCCTGCAAGGAGAAGTCTGATTCACAAAAAGCAAGTGAAGAGCTCTCTGAATCCTAGAGCAGGATGCAGATGAATGTCTCATTCTCAGGGCAGGTTCCCTAACCACTGCCCCCCACCAGTAGCTGCCCCTGCTGCCCCTTAGCCTGCCCACTCCTACCTGGGTAAACCAAGCAATTCTTTCACAATATCTGGGCAGTTGCTGTTGAGATGAAAAAGAAAAAAAAAACAGTGGACACAGTAGGGTAGGGCCCTAGCTCTCAAGATAGATGGACATGCATTGTTTTTGCAATCGTAGGCCATTGTGCAATGCCCTGGTCTCTGGACCCAGATCTCTGGACACTTAGAAAACACAGATGCTGGTGATGCTGCTTATCTTGCAGGGTTACAGGGAAGGTATAGATGTGACCATGGACAGAGATCATTCATGAGCTCTAAGGGGACAGTTAAGCAGAGCACAACTAGTAACCACATATAGCAGTGGCAGCTGTCCAGTGGGCATGTGGGGTAAGAGTGAGTCAACAAGGAAGAAAATTGTTCCGCTTCTTCAAGGGAATTCTCAGGAAACTGAAACTGGGCGGCTGGAGTTACAGGGCAGGCATAAATATCAGGTGCATGCTGAGCCAAGACTCATTCACCAGGAGCTCCTGGGACCCTAGAGGAGGTGACCTGTGAGTGTTTCTATTTATGCCTTATTCTATTTCCCCCTATTCTGTGGATGCCCCCCACCATCAGAGTTATTTATCCTACTTGTGTGGAGGAAGCTTGGGTTCTGGATTGAGGCCGTGCTTCTGGAGTCATGGGTTTGGGAGGTGGTGGTCACGGGGGAGTGAGAAGACCCTCTTCTGCCCTAAGTTCAGCTTCTGTGGCCTCAGATTTGCTTCCTGCATGAGAGTAGAACGGATGAGTGTGCTATGTGTCCAGATGCCGTTGTGTGGAAGTACCAGGTGGAAGCACATTTTGAACTTCAGTCTTGTCTTCTGTTCTGTGCCTGATTTCTTCAGAAAGGATAGCGGAGGAGGATCAGCAGGCATTGTCTGATCTGAGCACATCCTGGTTCCACCTGTGAAGCAGTGATAAACCTACTTCTCTCGTGGTCGCACATCTTTGCTGTTACAATGTGCTCACTGGATTAGGTCTCTTAATTTCCAATCCACATTCATAAAAGTTGCGCTTTTAAATAAGCCTTTCCTCTGAACACTAAGACATGAATGGCAATGTCTTCTGCACCAGCTTGAGTTTGTGAGCAGAAATGCCCGTGGTTTTTCTTAATCTCTAGAATCAAAGGGACCTAGAGTTAAGAAAACTAGAGGCCATGGGCCAGTGGCCTTGCCTTGGCATGGGCCTGGCCTTCAGTGCTCAGAACTAAGTTTCTACCAGAGTGAGGGCAAGGCAAGAGCCACCACCTGCCTCTGAGCTCACCTGGGTATTCCTAGAGACCCTCGGGATGCCCAAGGAAGTTGTGAATTCAAATTGAGTGACGTTAGTGAAAAATAAGAGTTTTCAGGAGTTGGAGAAGGTTGCACTTCTCTGGCCAGTAGCGCCAGCCCTCCACTACCCCAGTCAGCCCACTGAGCTGCTTCATCTTTCCACAGGACACTCCTGGCTTCAGTGCCTCAGTGACTCCTATGGGCTCTTCCTACTCTCATAATTTCAGTTTCTTTCTTTGAAAGAGACTGCTGTAGTGTTGATCTTAAATGTTACCAAGGTCCACATGTCAAAGGCTTTGGCCCCAACCTGTGGTGCTGTTGGGAAGAGGTGCAACCTTCAACAGAGATGGCCTAATGGAAGGACAATGGGTCTTTGTGGCCCCCATAAAGGGCATCTGGAAACCCCAGCCCCTCTGCTGTCTTTGCTTCCTGGATATTATGAGATGAACTTGCCTCCTCTGCCATGTACTTTTGAAAGAATGCACTGTGTTGCCACTCACCCAAGTAACCAAGGAATGAGACCTCTGAAACCATGAACCAGAATACACCTTTCCTTCTTTTAAGTTAGTTAATCTCAGGGGCTCATCACAGTGATAAAAATCTAACAAGATGTGCAGGATAGCATTGATCCAGCTCCTCAACATCTTGCCTGGGTGCCCTACCGATAGTTTCTCTTGTTTACCCTCAAACCAACCTTCCATGTGACCCCACCCACCTAGCATGTCCTCTTCCCCCATGAAACCCTCCTGTTCCCTCTCACATGGTCTAGGCAGACCTCTAGGTGTCTCTGGTCCCTCCAGTTGCTAATTTTGTATTTCAGAAACTTCTCACCTGAGCTCCCTCTGTCAGTTTCTCTATGGAGTCAGTGCTTGGTCCAGGAATGATAAATTGCTTGGCATACAAGCAGCCACAGTCCTAGCTTCTACTTGAGGCAGACACTATGAAACAGGCAGGACTCAGGTTCATTTTCATGCCAGTATGCAGACTCCAGTGATAACCTAGTCATGGCAGCAAGGAAGAAGAAACAGATTTGCTTGGTCTTAGTTGAGCCAACTCACTCATGGCACAGGCAGGGAGAGGAAGGACCAGAAAGAAAAAAGATCCTGCCCAGAGGTGCTACATGAATCCTTCCTGGTATGATAGGTGGCCTTCATGAGAACACTACATCACAACCACAGCTGTCATGGGTGTCTGAGGACTGATGGGCACTGCTGTACTCATTTCACAGTTCAAGTAGGAGAAGTTATGCTCTCCAAGAGCAGGCCATGTGTCTACCTCCCTAAATTGCCTTTGAACTCTTGCTCCTCTGAGCCCTACATTAGGAAAAAGGAGACAGAGAGAGAGAGAGATTTCTGACCACAGTAAGCTAGGTCAAGCCCTACCCTCTGTCCTGGAACCAACAGCATGACCTTTCTCTTTCTGCCATCTCCCCAGGCCATGCTGCTGCCCCTTCTTTCTGTGCTATTTCTGCTCACGCAGCCGCAGGGGAACCTGGGAGCTGAGTTGAAGCACTACCATGCTAAACCACTGCCCAATGCCTGCACTCTGGTCATATGCAGCCCCACAGAAAATGGCTTGCCTGGCCGTGATGGCCGGGATGGAAGAGAAGGCCCCCGTGGTGAGAAAGGAGATCCAGGTAAAGTGGGGATCTGGGACTTATCAGGTGGGGAGGTGGTCTTGGATGATGAACAATCTCTATCTGGGTAATCTGAAGGAGGACTTGGCGATAGGCTTCTCTTACCTTAAGGTCATGGGTTTCTCCTCACTGTTCGCTCCACCAGACACACTCTTCTACCAGTAGGCAAATGCGCGAGGCATGATAGAAATACATGGTGCATGTCTAAAAGAATGTAATTCATCACAGTGAGAGACACACTGCAATTAATCATTCACAAAATACTTTTCCCTGCTTCAGACACACCCACTTCTGAAGCACTTTTACAACTCCTCTTTTGTGAATGGCTTTAGTGGTGGTATCATGGCTGACTTGATGTCCTGAATCTACACAAAGCATTTCTCTCCTGGTCATTTGGACTGTGGGGGAAGAGCCAGAAGTTGCATGGTGCTAGATCTGGTAAATATGGTGGGCACCTATAATATTCAAATGGTGAAATTAAACAAAAAAGGGGATACAGATGAATGTCCATTTTGTATCTATGTATTCAAAATGGCTAAGATAGGTATATAGCTACATTCTCTTAATGAATAGAGGGATTTGTTCTAATGCTGTTTGTAAATAGGATATCATGTCTGCATCTTGTACAGCAAATAACTAATAGGAAGACAGTATTCAATGTGTTAATTATTGAAACTGTCCTACCAATTTGACTTGAAACTGTCTCATTGCTATTTGTTTCTCAATAAAATTATCGAAAATAAATAAATATTTTAAAAATATGGTAGACAATTGCCTGGCTGTTGGACAGCACTCAGCAACATCAGTCACTATTTTTGTTTATCACTCTTGGTAAGGACATTCACAAAAGAGGATTTTGGAGCAAGAACAATGGAATAAAGGGCCAGCCAAATAGCTCAGTGGATTAAGGCAACTTCAAGCAGGCACAGGGGCCGGAGGTTCAATCCCCAGACCTGTTGTGCTGGTTCTGCCCCTGGGGCATGCTGAGAAGGCAGTTGAGACTGGGCATGATGGCGCACGCCTGTAATCCCAGCTCTTGGGAGGTTGTAAACAGGAGAATCACTATGAGTTCAATCTAGTAGTGACACCCTGAACACCCTGTAGGCCCTTCTCTAAAATAAAATATAAAAAAGAAAAACAATGGAATATGTGTGTTTACAGTGAGGAGGAATTTTGAGGATGATTGACAGTGATGTAGCACCTCATGCGTTAATCCTGAACTCTCAGCATGCTTTGCCCCAATCACTCAACCAACCTGACTCCTCCTCTGGGGTTCTTGGGGTCCCCAAAAATAATAAGTACTGAGCAAATTACTTGTTGGATGGCCCTCTTCGACCTTGGCCTGGCAGCAAGCTGTTGTTCATTTTGATTAAGTGGTGTCTGTATAGCATGTTAAATATTTTTAAGAGTCAAACTCCATCCAAGGAGGAGAGGAAGAAATGAGGCACCATGACCACCTACACAGCCCTAGTCAAACTTTGCATTAAACTTCACAAGATGAGAGGGAGCTGGACTTCTTTGTATAACCCTGTGGGTGGGTATTCCAGTGGTTCATGTACTTCTACCAAAAAGCCTAACAAGGAATTTACTCATCTCCCTTACCAAATAAGAAAACTATGATTTTCTTAGTTACTTTTCTCTTGCTGCTGAGACAAAATATCCAACACCTGAAGTTAAAGAGAAAAAGCGTTATTTATCTTACAGTTTGTGGAGGTTTCAATCCATAATCTGCTGGCTGCAAGGCAGGGTAGGATGACAGAGGGAAGAAGTTCATGGGAGCAGAAGACAGCGAGAGAGTAAGCCTCCTTTCCTCTCTTATGTTGAGAGCAAGCAGGCTCCCCACCCTAGGGCAGGGGTAGCACTCACACCGCCTCCCTGTCCCCCTCTTGCACAGGCTCAGGATGCCTAGGAAGTGAGGACCCTGGCCACATTTCTTAGATTGGCACAATGAACAACATCCTAGAGCAGCAAGGGTGTGTCCTTTCCACTCTGGGGACACTGAACTGCTGAGCTACTTAGGGAAACTTCTAGACTTCTCAAGTTGACACAAATGTAACAACCGTTCTGGAAGGCTGAAAGGGCACGAGCTTCTGTGTTACCCAGCTTCTGTGTTACCCAGCTCAACTCCTGGCTCCATTTCCACAGCTGTGACCTGGTAGGAAAAGCCACACGGTATCAAGGAAACAGAAATAATGTTTGCCACCCGAGGACAAATAATTGGGCCAAATCGTTATCAAACTGAATCTTCAGAGTAAAGTTGTACTTACCTGCTGAACCAATAATGACTTCTGAGGTTTCCAGGGGTACTAGTAGATCAGGGAATCGTCAGCCACAAGTGCTGACTCTTGTAAGCCCAGCTGCTTTTGAGACTGAAGGGGCAGTATTGAAAGTTTGAGGCCAGCCTGAGCAATCAAGCAGGACCCTGTCTCACAAAGGGGGACCTGAGGGTGGAAATATAGCTCAGTGATAGAGCACCTGCCTGTCACATGCAAGACACAGGTTTAGTCCATAGAACTATTGAAGCAGAAATCCTCCCCCAACTGCAGTCATTTTGTTAAATATAGCTGTAGTCTTTGTGTTCTCTGCCACCGAATTCAGCTAAATCATACAATTTGTCATCAAGCTGAAACTTCTGTTAATGTGCTCAAAAGAACTTCACTACATACAACCATGCTCACTGTCGGTGACATCCATTCTACCATAACCTTCAGTGAAAACTTATCTCTTTTCTTATAACTTCTGTTTACCACTCTATAAATAAGATAAAATCTCTGTAATCAACACCTCAGACTTTGAAGATTAGTCCTCTGGGGTCTGCTAACATGCATCAATAAAATTTCACTTCTTCTCTTGTTGATTCAATTTTTCCTGCAACTCTGAAAAACAAACAGAAAACAATAAGGGAATTGTCCCTGGAAATACTATGCTCAACTTGGGAGAGGATCCAACTCTTATTGGTTTTATGGAAAAATTCAGTGAACCAAGAGACCACATGGCTCTGGTTTGAAGAAATCAAATAGTCTTTATTTCTTTGGAGTTTTCATTTGGGGAGGGGAGGAAGGAAACTAGTGGTACTTAAGAAAGAAAGAAGAAGGCTTTGTGGGGCAAGAGAAAGGTATTTGTTTTTCCTCTATGGGTCAAAAGCGCTCCCAACTGACTGAGCTGGACCCAGAAGTGGCTGCCTAGGGATGAACTCAGAGGGATGGGACTCCTTAGCTGGCCCTCTCCAAGATCTGCAGCTCCCTCTGGACCTCGGGGAGGGCAGTGGATTGAATACCAGGGTAGGCAGTGGCAGGGTGGGGTAGTGGGGGGAGCTTGCTTCAAGGAACATGGAAGAGACCTCCACTATCTGTGCAGGTACCGTGCCCCACCCCCACCCCACTCAATTCAACCCCGGCTTTGGGTTGCTTCTGGGAGAGAGGACAGCATACAGCTTGGCAGGGAGTATGGATGTCCTCTAGCTCATCACTTCTGGTCACTCTAATCACTTGACCATTGTCTCTGAGAATGGATGTGTCTGAGAACGTTGGGAGCTGGGAGTATCCTCAGAATCCTTAAACAAGTAGACCTGTGTCACTCTAAAGCCTGCACTTTTAACAACTTACTCTGTAGGCTTTGAAGCCTGTGGACCTCATCAGTAATTGCTGAGTAGGGCACAAGAGCAGAGATCCTTAAGCAGGGATGGAGGGGGGAGCTGGAGTCCCTCAGGGAGCTCACAGACACATCACGGGGAACAAGTAAGGCCCAGAAGGGGCAGGTCCCTTACAGCCGGAACATCCATCATTCCTGCTCAGAAAGATTCTCCGAGAGTCCCTCTAAGGATGCTCATCTTCCTCACAACACCCTGCAAGTCTCCCCGTGACCTCTCTCTAACCCTGCTTGCTTCTCTGCTCTCACTGCCTCCCACACCCACTTTACTTAGCCATGCTCATTTCTTCCTGGACCTTAAACACCTCTAACCCCTCTCTCTTGGGTCCTGTCATTCCCTCTCTTCATAGTATACTCCTTCCACTGGGAAGGTTCACTGCCCCTCTTTCATTGGACATTTTGTTGGACACTTTGTTTCATTAGTGTCTTTGTGAGGGTCACCAAAACTGGTGAATGCTGCTGTCAAGTGCTTTCCAACAGAAGAGTCTTGTAAAACAAGCAAACAAACCTTATGATGTGTCCTCATCTACCTTATTCACCAGATTTGGCACCATACAATTTCTGATGCTTTCCCAAAGTAAAAATGATCCCCTTCAAATGAAGGGTTCCCTAACTACCATGCTTACAACAGGTACCACTATCTTCAACACTCCCTGTGTGTTATCTGACCTCTGTGGCGCTTACTATAACCCAGCATGCCATGGACATACCTTTTAATTTTGGTTGTCTTATTTTGTTTCTATAGGGTTGAAGTTCATGACCAAGGGATTTTTTTTGTCTGTTTTGGGCACACCACACCAGCACTGAGGACAGTTTCTAGTACATGGTAGAAGCTCAATAAATATTTGAGTAATGAGTAAATGAGTGAAAGATTGAAGAGAAGAGGAATTTCAAGGCTGGCCAAAATGTCAGACCATAATGATTCACCTCAGGTGGTGTTATGGTACAGGGCTAGATAGCTGGGGAATCCTGGAATGGAAAGCATCCTTAATGCCTTAGGCAGTGCACTTACCAGTTTTCATGTCTTTGAAACATATTTAAAGGAAGAAAGGTTTAATTTGATTCATGACTTCATGTGATTCAGAACAGGGACAGTGGGCTCAGCGTAGACACATGGTGGAGGAATGGTGGGTGGAACACACAGGCTTACTTCAGGGCCACCCAGAAGCAGAGCAGAGGAGCAGTGCCAGAGAGGAGAGACCAGAAATAGTGTCTGAGGCCATGCTCGCGTGGCCACCTCCACACAGCCAGGAGTGTGCTTTCCTAATGCGCCAAGTGTTTCTTAATCAGGATTAACAGTCACAGGCTGCTTGTGTGCTGCTGTTGAGGTGGGAGGCCTTCCTCCACCTGGGAACCTCTCAGCCACCAGAGTTCATGCACCAGGAACTGGTGGCCTCTAGCCACATCCTTGTAGAGTGGTTGTTTTCCATTGGCCCACTGTGCTGTCATTAGTCTGGCCACAGTGGAACCCTAGAAAGGATGAGTCTGAACTCGGCTGTCTCTGCCCTCAGCCATGGACATGGTTGGAGGTGGGGCATAAACCTGTCACTCTCTGCTTCCATGCCACGCTTATCAGGGACTGCAACCAATGCCAGGGCACAGTTCCCAGAACAGAATCTCCTTCCACCCAGCTGACTCTGTCACCCACGTCCCAATCAGACTCCTGCCCCTGGAAAGCCTGTGAACTCCTGTCACACAGATGTAGTTTTCCTGTCTGAAAGACTACTGTTTCCTCTCCAAAGTGACATAGAGAAGACCACTCTGAAGCTGCACGTGTGTGTGGGACCAGGGATGCCATGGTGAGGTGGAAGGCTTCTCCCACACTACCTGTCTCACCTTTGCCCTCTTTCATAGTGTATTATAAATCTCTCATGAAAACCAACGAGATATCTCACTGTTCTAAAGTGCCTGCTTGGGCAAGCTTACACAATTGCACAGAGACCTCGGTTTGCTCTCCGGCACCACATGCAGTGCCAGCTGTGACCCCCAGGTGAACCAACCACAAAAACCAAACAAACAGAAAACAAATCTCTTATGGACCAGGGCTCGAGCCTAATAGTCAGATCCAGCCCAGTGTTAATCATAAAGTCAATATGAATAGATGGATTTTTTTAGTTTTTATCAATCTTATTAATTGTATATCTTAATAGAATTCAATATATTTCCAGACATGTACACAATGTGAATTATATAGATGATCAAATCCAACTTCTCTTCACCCCATACACACCCTTCCTAATCTTTAATAGTCTCTACATTTAGGTCAACATTTATTAGCTCCTATATGTGGGAGAGAACATTTGTCTTTCTGCATTTGACTTATTTTGCCTAATGTATTGTGCCCCAATTCCATCTGTTTAGCTGAACAGTACAGGCTGAATAGTATTCATCAGGTATATGCACCACATTGTCTATATACATTTATTTGCTGATGGGCACTAGACTGATTCTACCATGAACAGTACTGCAATAGATATGGAGGTGCAGGTATGTCTTTGGCATGCTAGTTTCATTTCTTTGGATAAACACCCAGAAATGGTGTAGCTGCATTATACAGAGAATCTAGTTTTAGATTTTTTTT